ATGTATAACTTTATTTGGAAGAATAGACTACATTATTTAAATAGAGACATATTAGGTAATTTATTTCATCAAGGTGGTTTAAATGCTATTGACTTTGAAGTATCTAATGCTATATTTAAAATCAGAAGGAAATAATTGATTTAAATTATCTTCCATTGATTGATAAAGTACAAAAGAAATTTAATTCTTGGTTAATTAGAGATTTATCTTTGAATGGTAGAATATTACTGTCAAAAGCTGAAGGACTGTCAAGATGATCTTATACAGCAGTGGTTTTAGATAGTCCAAAGTCAATTATTAGGCAAGTAAATAAGAAAATGTATAACTTTATTTGGAAGAATAGACTACATTATTTAAATAGAGACATATTAGGTAATTTATTTCATCAAGGTGGTTTAAATGCTATTGACTTTGAAGTATCTAATGCTATATTTAAAATTAAATGGATTCAGAATTGTATTAAATCTAATAACCAATTATGGTACTATATCCCAAATTTAGTTTTTGACAAAATTGGTGGTATTAATTTTCTCCTCAGTTGTAATTTTGATATTAATAAAATTCCCATTAAGCTGTCTAACTTTCATAGACAAGCTCTGTTATCTTGGTTGTTGGTGTACAAACATAATTTCTCTCCCCAAGTATCTTAAAGTGATGGAAGATGTAAGGAACTCTAAAGCAAAAAAGATTATAGATTGTTGTAAAGCCTTGAAACTTTATCCTTTTTAAGGACATTTGCACTTATTTTGTAGTTAGAGATATGGATTTGTTCTCAGTATATAGTTCATATTTTTTGTTGTTGATTTATTTAGTTTTTTTCTCTTTTTTCTTCTTCCTTAATTTGCATAATTTTTTTTACAATCATTGTTTCTTTGAATTTATTGACATTTTTGCTTTTATTGTCAATTTGTATGTGAATTGTCACTAAATAAAGCATTTAAAAAAAAAAAAAAAAAGTGGAGTGAGTGTCAATATGGTGAGAGAGCGACCTCTTGTGTTCATTGAATGAAAGTCCATGGACTGGATTCGTGACAGAAGCTTTACAGAATATCATGCATGGTATTGCTTGGAAAATGTCTATATGCATTGCAAATAAGAAGTCATTCATCACATTTCAGACGCTAGTGTGAGGCTGCCTCCGCTAGCGGCACAGGCCGGTTTGCAAATTAATTTTACAGACGTGTTGTCAGGGGGTTTGGCAAAAGGAGAGTGGGACTGTGGGCAGTGCTCTGGGTGGTGACTGAAGGCAGTGAATGAGTAGTTCTGACGTCACCTTCTTACGGAAGTCACAACGGTTCGTGAAAAATCACAGCTACTTTATGCAGGCTGTGTGCATTTGACTGTGGATTGACTGTTTTGAAACTTATATGGTAGTTACATAGCACCTAGACCTCAGTTATCATGAAAAAAGCCAGGAAATTTCAGTTTTGACAATATTGGACCTTTAAGGGATGGGGTGACGATGATAATTAGGGGGGAGGCAGCCGATCCGTCACAACACAAATACTAAATATATTATAGTTTGGATGTGACCGTGGGCCTGTTTCAATAAGGAGGTTCAACCAACTCTGAGTTAACTTACCTTGAGAAGGGAAACTCTGACTTTTCAGTTTCAGAACAGCTGAATTGTGTTAGCTCAGTCAACTCTGAGTAGGTTGACTCTGAGTTTAGCGTGTGCACCACGACTATAAGTCATGATCAATGGAGCTCCGAAATTATGATTCACCATGGCAACAGCACCGACAAAAAGACCTCTGCATACTTTGAGTCAATGCATAAGTTTAATTCTTAAGGTATAATAAGGTGAAAACTGGCAGAACAGTAGGTTATTGAACTAATATTAATTTTCATGGTATCCCATGGGCAAAAATGAAAAAGAAAAAAGAACATGACAGCAGCTAAAAGTGAAGTATAAAAACAATTCAATCAGGTAAAGCTTTAAGCATAAAATTTTCATGGGTGTAGGCTACATGACTTTACAAACATTTGATATATTAATGTATATTTATATAAAATGTATATTGATATACATTCAGTGTCTATTTCAATGTGCAGCAGCTTTTTTTCCACATACTCTAATCTTTTCACGTAGTCTAATCTTTTCACATAATTAAAGATTCTCTAATCCAACCTGTTACATTTCTTAATTAGAGTAATTAAATTAACATTTGACTTCAACTCAGTCAACAGCAAGAAGGCTCTCAAAAAATAATGAAGAACAGATGAAGAGGAGATGGCCATAATACCAAGTATTGGAAGAATACTAAAATTCAACAGAAAAAATAATAACTCTTGCTTTTGTATTAGTAGGAAATAAAGATGACCAAATAAATTGTGCATAATTTGTGTTTATGTAACAGCTGTGGTGGTGGTTACAGCATATATCTCGGACTACACGTCCATATGGCATCCTTCCATTCCATATCTATTTAATTTTCGGAAGGTGCGATGATGGAATATGTGTGTCATCAATGCATCCAACCACACCGGAAATTCTAATTATTGGGTTACTTCCAGAGGTCGCCACAAGATGTTATCAAGTGAACGTCAGCGAGGCACACCTTCATTACCACTCTGCATACAGAGGCCTTACTAATGTGCTCTGCATCCCCGATATAGAAAACTACCAAATAAATATGCATGTGGATATGGCACAAAAAAGTAACTCCCTATGAATTAACAGCCTCCTCATCTACAGTATAAAAGGACATGCCATTTTTGTCACTTTGACGGTGTCTGGTGTTAGGGGGGGGGGGAAACAAAAAATAATCTTGTTTACGTTTGCATTAAAATTATTTTTCTTACCCCATGGCGGATAATTTTACTTGTTTTAAGTAAAATGCACTTAAATGCACCTGTTTTCCCCCAGGAAACAATAATAAACATATATCATATATAGCTTATAACATATATAGCTATATCATTTTTCTTATATAGAAAATGCATCGTGATTTAAGAATTTTTAGATATTTGTACTTGAAATAAGACAGAAATACTACAAAAAAAGCATTTTTGCAGCGTGAAGGAATGAATGAGGTATTTAAACATCGCTTACACTTTAAAAAGGGGGAGGAGACTGTAAGAAACTCTGGGTTTACCGAAGAAAACCTCCTCCCGACCAGGTTAGGTTTATAGAGTAAATTACCATGGTAACTGACTCTGAGTATGTTACCTCTCTTTCAGAAACGGGCTTGACCAACCCTGCTTTTTTTGGGTTTGACAAACCTCCCATTCTGAAACGGAAAACCCAGAGTTTTCCTCATTTCAGGGTTAACATAGAGTTTTCACATAACCTCCTTTCTGAAACGGGCCCCGTATCTTGTTGAGACAAAAAAATGTGTTTACAAATAATGTTAACTGAACACCAGTTTACTGTAACTGTAGCCTCAAACATGAAAGCTATTTGAACAGTTGAGAGGCATCATTTAAGATTTGCTAATGCAAGAAAAGAGACAAAGCACATCACATAAAAAAAGTTTATATTTGTTTATTAATCTTGAAAAGTCTCTTCTGACAATCAGCATACTTTTTCCAATGGCACTGTACAGAGAAGCGAACACTCAGTGCAGTAAGACAAAGGACATAGGCTTTTTGCCTGCCACAGTGCACATTTTAAATACAAAGAAGATTGTTCATTGTTACATTTCCATAATGCACCCTCTAGCCACAAGAGAGTGAATTCCAAAGTTTATTGATGATCTGCATATTGCCACACATACATAAAAACAGGTTACAACATCTTGTAACCTCCATGTTTTTGAGACTATACCAAGTGTTGCCTCGGTTATTTATTCCCCTTGTTATCCAACCTATGATTGGTTCAGACAACCATATGAGTTATAAATGGACAATCTGTTTCATACAGTATCTAAAACACTAATTCAGACTTTTATGGTTTTATTTCTCCAAAATGCTTGTAAACTAGCAACCAATGCTCTATTCCTCTCTCAGGGCAATGACCTGACCTTAAATCAGAGTCATACTTTCTGAAACCTACCACTCACTTTAAATGACTAGAGAAATTAAAGTCTACAGTCTTTACGACTGTGTTCACCCAGTGTGACCCAGTTACAGTGAGTACCGGTCTCCAAGGCAACACATTTTGTACAGGCATCAGTTTCAAACATGGAGGTCAAAGGAAGGAATGAGGGAAGGGGAGGTGAGGGAATTTTACTACAACATCCAAGTACTTTGGCAATGCAGATGGTGCATTGGTTGTGCAAATGAATGACCACTTGAACTGATTTGAGAGGTTGAGGTAGAGGGACAATGGTGGGTATCCAGTCAGGTAATATGTGATTGAGGATTGTGGAATTGCAGCTCTCTTGTGTACAGCCTCTTTGTTTATGCAGCCATAATCCCTGTTACCAGGCCTTAAAGCCATAGGTACTATATACTTACAATAGCTGAGAGCTATTGGTCATTGGTTTATTTTGCTAATACAGATATTAGTCTGTCTGAAATTTCCAATTCCAATTCCAAATTCAAATCTACTCCATTAACTGATGATAAATTATGGCACAGTCATTCTACACAAGACAATTACACAAAAATCATCTCATTTTACAATTATCAGTCCATGTACACAATCCTTAAAAAATGCTGAGGTGAAAAAAAAAACTTTGATATTCCAGATTGTCATTAATCTATGGGTGACCATCTTTGCACTTTGAAGAATTCTCAATGGCACCCGCCAGCTATTGCCACAGACCCAAAGAGGAGAGGGCTGTCCCTCGGGTTTTACACCTGTACATGTCATGTACACACAGAGCTGTTACAACGTCCCATAAAGGAGACATTTTCTGTATTACACAGAAAAACTTTAACCCTTTTTCTATGTGCAATGACCTGACCTTAAATCAGAGTCATACTTTCTGAAACCTACCACTCACTTTAAATGACTAGAGAAATTAAAGGCAAAGCAAATGAGAATGTGGTTAAAAACAATGAACCCTTTCTGATGGATTTTTGAGAAATGTTTGATCTGTTTATTTCTTAATATTAGACATTAAAATAAATGATCTAATAATGTGTGGAAAGGCAGCGAGAAGGAAGCTAGCCCGAATCCAATCACCATAATGTCCAGTGTTAAAATAGACTTCATTCAATGTGGTAAAATACCACAGAAACTTCATTTCCAGAGTTCTTAAAATAGAAAGGCAAGTCAAAGCTTGATGAAAAGGTACTGATTGTTTATTGCGAAGTAAAAAAAAAAAAAAAAAGCTAGAAAAGAAAAGAATGGTAGCAACACTCTACATAATCTTTGCAAAGATAATGTATTTCATTTAGAAAATATCTATTGATGCTAAGTCATTAAGGAATCACACTGCGTATAAAAATATTAGATATCAACAATAATATGAAAACCTCATAAACGGCAACCTCTGAAATATTGCTACGGTAACACCACTCATCCTTTTGGTGGGTTTAAACCTGCCTGATAATGAACAACAGAGCATGACCCTAATATGCTCACAAGACCACAAAGTCAAATGGCCGTGTCCCAGAAGACTGTAGTCTGAGTAGGGTAGGGGGGTGGGCTGTGCTTCTTTGCACCGCTAGTTTTTTTCCAGCTTGGCATTGTAGGCAGGCTTTCTTTCTTGCATGGGCTATGGTCAGGAAGACGTTCTCGAGACCGTATCTCCCGGCAGAGGCGTTGTTTCCTCTCGATCATCTCCACCATGGTGTTGTCACTATACAACCATGGCATAGGGGGCATCTATTGGACGCATATAGAGAACATAGGTTGTCAACGCTATGTAATTTTACAGCTGCACAAATAAGTACTGTACAGTGATAAAGACGGTACCTGTTGGACATCAGCTGGCTGTCTCTGAGGTGTGCCTTTTGGAGATGGTGCTACTGTTGTGGAAGAAGACCGTCCTACCTTTGGAAGCGTCTTCAGTTCTGCAAGGAAATTTCCTACAGATGAACAAGAAACATCAGTTGAAAAGACTTGAAAAGACCAGTCTTGACTGGCATGAATTTCTGTGCTCTTCCAGAATAGATCAGGCTGATTTTTGCTGGTTATTGCTGGTCTAGCAAATTCATGGTGAAGCTGATCAACCAGCGTTGTCTTTTTACTCTGCTGAAGAAAAAAAAAAAAACTTAAACCAGCCAAAGCTAGCTTTCCAGCCCGAATGGGCTGGTCTATTGCCTGTTTTTTTTTTTTCACTTTTTTAGCTAGTCAGGCTAAGATAAAAGCTGAAGACCAGGCTCGAAGACCTAGTAGGTAGAGAAGTTGGTCAGCAGCTTCATCAAAGCATCCCTTCTCAGGGCTAGCATTTAAGACATGTTACTAACTAGTTGTGCTTTAGCTGGGCTGTAAAACAAATTTAGTTCTTACCAGAGTTTGAATTCCCCAACATTATATTTGGAATCATGGAGGATCGTCCAGACCACGTGGATGATGCCATGGCTGAAGATCCAGGCCTTGCATCTTTGTCCTGTGCTTTGGGTGATTCTGTGCTATAATTGCTTTTGTCTTTCTCATCATACCGGGGTAAAGTCTCATTTGTGTGTACTCCCCTATCTTTGCAGTCCCATCTGCTCATGACATCATTGCCATTGGTGATCCTTTCCTTGCTTCCCCTCCTGCTCTCTGCACTGTGGTTGCTTTTCTCCTTGTCCTTACCAGATTCTATGACATGCTTGCCACCATCTTTATCCCGTTGACGTTCCAAACCTGTTCTACCCGGATCTTTATTTTCATGTCTGGAAAGAAGGTCTATCCCATAGCAAACATTCTCTCGGCTGTTACGTCTGCTGTCTGGACCATTTCTCAACAGATCTTTACAGTCTTGTCTGGGCAAGTGCTCTGGACCAACACAACCTCGGTCTTTACTGTCATGTCTGGCAAAAGGTTCTGCAATATTGCAGCCCCTGTCTTTGCTATCTCGTTGAGGCAGTGCCTCACTGCTACTGCCTCTATCGTTGCTCTCTTGTCGGGAAAGCTCTGGGCAGTTATATCCCCTGTCCTTGTTGTCACTTCTGGTTAATGGCTCAATGTTATTGTATCCACAGTCTTTGCTGTCATGTCGAAATAAGGCTTCAGTGCCATTTGGTTCTCTGTCTTTGCTGTCACGCCGATGCAAGGACTTTCCATTGCTGCTGCGGTCTTTGTCCCGCTTGGATTCTTTGCTGTGATGGCTCCTCTCCTTGTGCTCCCGTTTGTACTCAGAACTGTGACCTTTTCCTTTTATTTCAACTAGAAGAGGGAGAAATTACAGATATTTCAGTGACTTAATCTCATGATGAACAACTATAGGTGGCTATTCACACTGTGTTCCAAATTTTTATTATTGCAGTACTGGAATTTGGTCACAAGGTGTCCCCATGATACTCAAGGATTCATTACAGTTTTTTTTTTAATTGCTAAAACACATTTCATGAAACCATCACTCATTTCCTCAAAACCTTAAACACAAATCCAAACCTTCACACTAAATTCACAGAACCCCTGACTCTTCAAAAAAAATCAAACAATCGCTTCAAAACCATTTAATCTTTACTCAAAATCAAACAAATCTTTCAAATCATAGACACATTAGTCAATAGCATACACACTACAGATCATTCATTAGACCCTACATCAAAAAAATGGAGGACACAGTGTCCAGTGCATGTAGTTACAAAAAAAAAAATGTTTATTGTATATAGTAAATATTTTGCAATACAGTTTTTCTGAACTGCTAAAACGCATTTCTTGAAACCATCACTCATTTTCTCAAAACCTTAAACACAAATCCAAATACTCAAACTAAATTCACGAAACCTCTGACTCTTCCATCAAAATCCAACAACCACTGCAAAACACATTTCACTTGCATTCAAAATCAACAGGTGCTCTCAGATCACACACACATAAGTCAATAAAATAAACAATACAGAGCATTCATTAGACACTACAGATAAAAATGAAGAACACAGCATCCAGAGCATTACAGAAAAAGTATATTGTATTGAGTAAACAACTTTGCAATTCTGTAAAAAAGTGTAGTAATTGCAACTGTGTAAGGAGAATATATTGTATAGGCATACTGTATGTATTGTAAGAATAGTATTGTGCTGAATACTGAAATAGTACTGAATGTTTGTATATATTCAGCACTTGGGTACTGCAAAAATACTGCAGTCCAACTGCAAAGGCCAAAAAGGTCAAATAAAACTCTAAATGAATAGCATGTTACAGTACACTCAAATACTGTAAGTTGTGCAATTGTAAAATCAGGGTCAATGAGAGATTCATTCTGTCTCAGC